CGGGCCGCCCTCCAGTCCGGCACCGTGGGTGCTGTGGGAGAGGCGGCGGCGGCGGCTCCTGGCAGAAGGTAGGGCAGGGACCGCGCAGGGCTCAGCTAAAGGCGTCCCTCCGATCCAGGGCGGGCGGCTGCCCCTCTGAGGCTCCATATGGCACCTTGAGTCTGCGTGTCAGTAATGGCTTCCATGAAACCAAAGCCCCATCCTGTGTCACCACGGCTTTGAGCAGGTGGCAGAATAAACCGGGTCTTAATGGCCGGTCAGAAGCCTCGTTCACCGAGTTAACGACAGCCTAATAACGCGCACTGATTCCCTGAGCGTGGGTAAACCGTTAATAAGGCTCACTGGAGGAGGCTAATGACGCTGCGTACCTGGCAGCATCAGCCTTTCATGAATTTGGGGGCTTCAAGAGTCTGGTAAGTAAATACATGTACTGAAGGATTTGGCTGACCCATATATGTCAGAGAGTTCCTCTGGGACGTCTTCAGCAGGTACAGAAGCCTTTACTACTTTCACAACACCCTTGTGAGGAAGCGCGGCTCAGCTGCAAGAGGAAGAGGGACACTTGGAGATCAGGTGCCTCAGTTAAAGGTCACAAAACTGTTCCGTGATGGAGCTGAAGATGAACCCAGTCTGCCATGTCGACTTTACCAAACCACACAGGGCCGTTTTTTAAAAAAAATTAATTCTATAGTCGCAGTTCTTTCCCCACACTAAAATACATAGTTATGCTGTTCACTGAGACTCACTAAAAGATACTTTGTTCTGGAAAGTAATTGTTCGTCTCGGGGCACATTCATTTTCTTTTTCAAAAGATATGTTAATACAGTTTGGGTATTTTTTTTTTTTCCAAAGCAAATCTGGGTTTGCTTACTTTTATATCAGAGAGACTTTAGAAGAGCGGTGAATAGGTATGCGCCTGTCATTTCTTCAGAAACAAAGTGAGACTGAGGTTTCACAGCATGCAGGGATGGAGTTTGTTTACTCTTTTAATTGGTCGTTACCTTCTCTTTTGTAAATAATTTTAAATTAGGAGGAAGTGAACTGACAAATATATGCAGTCTCATTACAGTGTCTCATCTTTCCTGATAACAGCATTAGTAGGTTATGGATTAAGTCAGTAAAAGCAGGCACACTGATTAGAAAGTCAGAAGACCTCTCACGTACATTTGTAAAAAACCCTGCACTGAGGACTGAAAATGAAGTGGTTTACACACCTGTTGTCTCAGGTACATTCTATATCACACCTTCATTGGTGACTTACCTGTTCATTTGGTTTCCTGTTCCAGAATGTGATTGCAGGAGGAGGAATCAGAGTATATTTAAAAAAAAAACCAAACCAACAAACAACCCAAACTGAAAAAGCTATAGAGAGAGAGGAAGAGAGATTTGGGCAGAGCTTGGACATGGCACAATAAATGTGAATCATTAACAGGCAAAGAAAGGATGAATAGTTACAGGGGAGGACAAAGGTTATAGTGATATACACAGAGGAGCAATCCAGAAAGCTGTATTCTATGGGAAGCTAGATTATTTAAAACACATTTTTGGAAGGGATTTAAACTAGAAGAAGGACTTGACTAGTTTGGAGAAGTTTAGGTGCAGCCAAAAAGTGATCCAGGAGGGAAAATGCAAAGAATATGTCAATACTAGTTCTATGTAGAGCTATTATCTTACCTGTGTTAGACATCTCCTGATGGTAATATCCAAAGATACCCCAGCAATATATGAGTGATGTAACCGGCACATCAGTTACTGCCACCTCATCGACATTCATCTTCCCCAAAGAGTTTTTGTTTTGGTAGGTAGGGGATGTTTTTAATATTCTTACTGGGAGTTAGAAAACAGATGGACTATTTAATAGGGGACGACAGTCATGTAGGACAGGAAAAAGAACTTCACTTTAATATGCAATTAATTGGGGGCACTGACAGCTATTTTAAAAATGTATGGGGGGAGGGAGGATTTCCTGCTCAAATAGAGGAAGCAACACTTGAAAACAGAAACAAACTTAAATCTACGGGAAAAAAAAGTGGCACACTGTTTGGGAGAGTATAAGGCTGAACTGTGTAGTCACTGTGTACAAAATGAGGAAAAATTACTGGATGAACACTTTATACAGTGTTTCCACTAACACTGGTGATATTAATGCAAAACTAGAAAACTGATGCCACAGCTCAATGTGTATATTTTTAGTATAGTACTACACAAAACAGCAGTCCTGTTTTGTCTGGAGAGGCAAAATGTAAAAAAGCTAACATAACATTTCCTTCTGCTTTATTAATATTTCTCTACGCTCAGTTATAATACTTGGATTCCTAACCTTGTATGGCTCCATACGCACATTTTATACATCACTAGAGTAACAAGTCACATTTCATTCTCCAAAGACAAAAAGGCAGCAGAGCACAAAATACATGTCTAGCCCTGAGTTCCCCTTACTTGCAACTGTGGGGCACTTCTACCACATTTTCTTTTTTTTTTAGCTCCACATTTTCCTTACATCATGGTTCTCAGTTGGACGTAGGCAAAATCAGGTGTTATCTCTATGACGCAAATAAACTGGAGCAGGAAACACACACTTCCCCACCTCATCTTTTGGAGTGAAAAAAAATACTGGTGGGGTAACCCAGTGGTCAGGAGCTTCAAATTGGTTTGGACAGATGTCTGAAGGCTGCATAGCCTGATGACCTTCCCTGCTAATCCCAAGTATTTCCTTCTCTTCCTACAGGCTACCTCTTCTCTTCTCTGGTTCTCCCATTTCCTCTCCCTCTCCGATGCACCCTGTATCACCAGGCGTCAGCAGTAGGGTTGGATTCCGCTCCTGCAGTGAATGAGATTATTTCCTCCTCCATCTCCTTTTCCTCTTCCCCCATTGCTGCCAACTCCTGCAGTAGTCGGTGTTTTTTCTTAAAGCCTCAGGTGCAGGAATTATGTGATTACACAGGAATTTCATCTTCCATTGAGAATAAAATGTCCCTAGCTACTGAAAACTCAGTGCAACAGAAGACAAATACAAATAACGATCCGCTTCTGGATGTAGGGAAAAGGTTGCTTTGATTTCTGAATGCTTGAACTTGACAACATGGTCCCTGTCCTGGCTGCTCTTATATGCAACAGCATTTGGTGCCAGGTATAGTTAACTGTAGCCATGGAGCCAGAGCACCCAGCTGTTGCGGTGGGAGGAAAGATTCATTCCAAATTGCATTTTTGTCTGAGCTGTTCAGGGCAGGAATGCCCATGCACAGGGCAGAGGCACAAGACAAGGAAAATGAAGCTGTGACAGCTCTGAATCCCTTATGCTGACAATGCTGTAGTAATATTAGAGCTCCAATAGTCCCTCTTTATAGTAAAACAACCTGTATAAATAGGACCTTGTGGAAGTAATATCAACTGATACTCTGATCTTTAGACCTTCTGCATTGCTGCATACTTTGGAGCTCTCACTGTTCCTGTCCAGTTGACAGAGATACTGATAACCAGCTGGAGGAGTGATTCATAATTATTAAAAGCCCAGAGGTGATGGGAGGGAAGGCACCTCTGCCTTAACTCACACAGAGCAGTGACCTCTCACCTATATTTACTGAGTGGTTTGCTGGATCAAACTGGGGCAGAAATAAGGTCCCAACTTCCTAGTATGGATTAATTTGGTTTCAGAAGAAGTGAGTTTATGTGTAATTTCTATGGGGCAGAGTTACAGAATATATCTCATACCAAGTTGTTTACACAAAGTTGATGAAAACTGCAGCTCAAAGCACTATATAAAAATAACACAAGTAAGTAAAATTAAATTGGTGTTGTTTTACAAAATCAAAGGTAGAAGGAAAGAGCAAGAGAAAATTCAGTCATGGTTTAGGAGTATCCAGCAATATACCATAAAGTCCTTTCAGTCCAGTGCTAGAATGTTTTCACCTCCAAAAAATCTAGACTGCATGGGCAGAGACTAAAAGAAAATTACTGTGAACTAAATATCTAAGCTACTAAATAAGGACTATTGAAGAGAATATTCAAATACGAGCATTACTTGAGAGTCTAGTCACCTGCATACCTACTCCACATTAGCTGTTAAAGAAAACTCAAAAGTTTTAAGTATCTGCAACAGGATATGGACTTTTTACTGTTAGGAAATGTGCCCAAGTCCAGCCCAGGCTAGAAATGACTCATTACGTGATAGATATTGAGTTTTGTATTAATCACACCCATTCTAGTTCCTGCTATTCACTGTCATGGATCATCACTAAAATCTGAAGGATCAGATGAAGGCTGAGGGTTAGGTCTCCATGGAATTTATAATTTCTCATTACAAATATCTCTGGATTGGAGAAGAGGCTTGGGATTTCCCTGTGTGGATAAACAGGAGGCATTGGTTCCCAGAAGAGTGAGCTAGTCAGCAGTGTTAAGACTAACTTTAAAATGCAACAGTCCAAACACTAAAGTGGGATAAAGTGGATAGAGTGGTCTGTGTACCATGCAAGGAGGTTAAAAATATGCATATCATGTGCTGTTACCAGTGGTTACCAAACAGGGAGATTCTTTTTTATTAACTCTTTCAGAATGAATACTCTCTTTGTTGTTGTTGCATCTGCAAGGAGTTTTTGTTCCCAGATGTTTATTCTCAGCCCTGTAGTTCTTGTGTAAGTAGTCTTCCCCAAATGTGGTCCTAGCTCTATGCAATGATTTAAGAGTGTTTTCAGGCTGCTTGGCCCACTAGTTCTTGTTGTTAGTCCACTTCCAGCTTTCTGAACATGCACATGTTCTTCTCGTGATTTCTAGACGGTGTCCTGTGGCAGTCCCCAGTATTGCTGAGCTTCTCCTGGCTGGTAGGGCATTTCATCAGAAGTGAAGACTCACAGTCTTCAAGAGAAAGATTTCCAGCTAGCCCCTGGAGAAGCACTTACCATTTGTCAGTGTCTTTTCATCACCCTCCTACACCCCATCACCACCCACAGCTCTGAGAGGTGTTGGTGATCTCCCCCTTGTCATCCAAGAGCAGCGAGAAGGAAAGTGGTCTCTTGAAATTGCACTCCAGTGCCATCTGAAATGCCTCCAAATGTGTGCCTGTGTTTCTGTTTCATTGACAATGTTGTCTCACACATTTGGGGGATGAGAGAACAAGTCAAGGCAGAGGCCTTTCCCACCAGGGTGAAAGGGGCAGGACTCTTAGACAGACAAAACCCTAGCAAACTCTTTCAGTGCTTTAAAGGCTAATGACAACACATTTGAAAAAAAAAAAAAAAATTGACCCATTTAAGATAAATTCTGTGTATTTTGCTTGCATGAATAGAGTTGCTAATGTTAGCAGGAAGAAGATGAGGAGAATGTGTCACTACTCACTTCCCTCTGCATTTGAATTTTCTGTGATACATGCATTTTTCACTTAGAAGTTGACAGACCTTTTCAAAAAGAACCTTTATTTTTATTTTCCCCCATAAAACCCAGGAAACCCATGGATGATAGGCTGGCAGTAGTGACCAGCATGGAATAATCATCCCTATAATACAGTTAAGAGCATATAGAAGAGGATCTGCAGGATCCACGTCATCTATGTAGAGGAATGAAGAGGCTCTGGACCTGGGCATTTGGCTGACAGACCACTGCAGTAGTGATGCTGTTGGTACGTGGGGCATTCAAACAGGTTGTCTGTCAACATGCTTTTGTGTCCCTAATTGTGTACATCCAAGTTTGGTCTTCACCTCTAGGAAACTGTGTCTGTGTACCTGTTGCTATTTCTCTATTGGGTCTGGCTCTTAACTCTAAGATTTGTAGCTTGCAATTTCCTTTCGCAGGCTCAGCCTTTCTGTGGTCCTTTCTAGTTTTGTCACCACTAAGATCCCTGATCTTGTTTAGGACTTCAGCCACTGTTGGCTCAAGAATGTGGGGCTATGTCCTGGATCAGACATAACATTGTTGGAAGTGAAACAGTAGCTACGGATACCATCTGCTCAGGATACTGTGTCAGTGCTATCCCCTGGCTTTGCTATTGCTAGCCAGATTAGCTGAAGCAATAGGAAAGTTAGCAAAGCAAAGCAACAGGGGCTGGGTTATGTTTATTATACTCTGTTTTGGTCAAAATAGCCAGTACCTTCTGAATCTGACCAGCTCAAAACACAAGTGAAAGCTGAACATGAAGCAAGCACCAGGCAAGGCTGGGGAAGTGTCTTCTGGTTAGTTACCCGATCCTCTTTGACATGCCCTGTTTCAGCAGCAAGAACATATGGCCCAGTGGGCATACTCAAACCAGAAAACATAAGTGCTAAGCCAGAAGATCTCGACTAGTTTTAACATCTCCTAAACCCCGAGGCAAGACCCCGAGGAATACCTTGTGTGGGGCAGTGGGGTCACGCGCAGCTAGGAAGCCCCCCAGGACAGCGTAGGCTGCAGCTGTGGCCCCACTGCGTTGCTGTGGAGCAGCACTGAGCTGCTAAGAGCTGCTGAGCTGAGCTCAACATTTAACCCCAGACAGTCCTCAGGGGTCCTGGCCCTCTCCCAGCCATGGTGTCCTGCCAGGGTCGTGTATCTGCTGCTCACCTGGCCACAGAGCACTCCCAGGCCAGAGGACAGCAAACTGCCCAGCCCCTGCAAGCTCGGCTGTTGCAAGGAGGACAGAGATGGTCTCATTCAAGGAGCTATTACTGGTCAGTAAGCATACTGCAGTGGCTGCTCCCTGCTTACTTACCCTGCATCTGCTCATGAAAAACACCACTGAAACCAGTCTTGGGCCGTTATCTTTGCCTGGGACTCCAAGACTGGGATTTGGGTTTTTTTGTTAAAGTAGGTTTTCTAAAGGGGCAGATAATTGTTGTTCATTCTTGAATTTAAAAAAAATAATAAATCTTTCTTGTGATGTATAATTTTCTTGCATAATTTCGAATTTGTTTCCCCTCTGCTTCACTCACTACAAGTGTGGGGCAGGGACCCAGCACAGCATCTGGGAAGCTGCTGCAGTCCCACAGCTGGGCTGAATGCCCACAGCAGCTTGGGTGCCGCTGGAGCTGGAAGGAGAGGTGGCTGCCCAGGTGTCATCTATTGAAGGAAAGAAATGCCTAAAGCAGCATGTACTTAAGGTTACCACCTCCCAGATGGTCCTTTACTCAGGACATCCCAATATTCTTCTAGTTATGGAGCAGGGCTTTGGGCTTAGGTTTCCTCTGAGAAGCCAAAGAAATGTTTACCATTTTCTGTAATAGAAGCAAAGTTTAAATGAATTATTATAATGATATCCAGAGACTGTGTGTCTTAGATTTTACCACACAATCATAAACGCAATCAATGTCAATGACTTCCATTTAATTTCAGACAAAGTTTGCTTTTAAATACCACAGCAGATTTGACACGGCCAATGATAAATGGAATGCAATTAGTTCTACTATTTGCTTTAATGATATGCTAAATTATTTCTTACAACAGACCATTTATTATCCAAAGCTAATGGTTATACTCTTGCATTTAACAAGTCTAATATATCTTAAACCATGGCAAACTGATAAGTTTCAAATTGAGATATTACAGTCTAGAAAAAAAGTCATTCCATGAATGAATTCCATCTAATAAATCCTTGCCAAGACCCAAGTCACCATTTTCACAAAGAAGTCTTAAACTGTAACAATTTTATATGTATTTCTCATCGCATAAATAAAAAAAAAACTTAATTATGCTGCCTCATAGTGATTTACAGTCATTTAATATATAATCTTAAGGAAAATGTCTGAATTTAAATGTTCTTATGACATTTTTAACATAATGCTTCTTCTAATTGCTGACAAGACAATCTTTTTTTTTTTTTTCCCTGAAATTTATCAAGAGTTTATCACAGTAGTTGCAAATTAATGAAGAGAATGTAGTCCCTGAGAATACAAATATTTGATCTTATGAATTGTTAGTCCTTATACTGCAATGTTGCTTGCCATGGAGCTTACCCAAGTGTTCTACATTCTGAATTTCCATCACCCTTTTCCTTCAGTATATGCCTTCTTCATGTGGAGCTAATCCATATAATGAGGGATGTAAATTACTTATAAAATAAAAAGCTGAAAACAGGTAGCAGCAGAGCACCTGGTCCTGGAAATCATATTTTGGCTGAAAACATAAGTGTCTGTACTTATGGAAAAATTACTTACACAAATCTTATCATTTCTGCAAGGTACTAAAGCTACCTTGTGAATGCCAGGCTTTGATATTTCAATGCCTGTTAAATTTCCATGGTGGCAAAAGCAGGGGACACATAAAATACCAGATCTCCAAGACTGGAAAATCTTCCTGCAGTTAACTGCTACAGTGGAAAGTGTATTGCGTTTTTTAATGTGCCACATTACACTGACATCCTTGAGTCTTTAAAAAAAAAGAGCAACACATAATTACCACAGGGACTTTAAAAATTCCACTGTAAGATTTTAAAAAAATTTATTTCTTCATATTTTTCACTCATCCCGATTTCCTTTTATCATCAAAGGACAGGTCTGTCCCACCTTGATTTGTTTAATTCCAGGTTTCAAAATAATACAGGCACAGCAAATTCTGGTTGCTATTTAGAGAAAATTAATTCCTTTCATAACATGACGGTTACAGAAGGGGGCATTTAATTCCCCTTTCTGCGGTTACCTTAATAAGGACAAGCCAGGCCCTGGGCCATCTACACCAGGGCACTCTGCCCCAGTCACTCCACATTCACTCACCTGGCCCCTCCCAAACTCCCTTTGCTCTCCCAGTCCTTCCTTCCTTCCTTTCCACCTGCGCCTGGCTGCAGCCCCACCAGGCACATCTCTAAATCTTACACTCTTCTGCAATTTCCCTAATATTTCCTCTTCCTTCTATTTATGTAATTCCTTGGGGATTTTTTTCTCATCCTAGTACCTTCCCCCATTTTCTGAGCTCCATGTCTTCTTGCTCCTTGTTGTGCAGGGAACTCTTCTTCTCAAGAGTTTAATCCCCCTGAAGATGATAGGAAGAGGTGTTCACCAGGATAAGGCCAAACTCAGAAAATGTACCAGTGTTTCATGATGAACACTTAAACCCACCCCAAATACCGTATAGTTCTCAGTAAAATCTTAAAAACTAGCAACCATGGATTGTTCCTTCTGCCAAGGACTACATAGAAATGGGGATGTAACAGCATTTTAGCATTTTTCTCTAGGAGAAAAAGAAATGGACTAGACATTCAAATCATCTGCTGTCCATACAATGTGGTCATAAATCTGTTCACTTTAAATAAAAGCAGCAACTGCAACAGGGTGATTTGACATGGGTAATCCCACTTGCAGGACCACAGCTAAAACGCTGACCATTTACTCTAAAGTTCTGTCTCGTTGTTGTCTCTGTAAGGCATCTGGTTTCTAAATTCTGATCAGAAAAATATTCCCATCATCCAGATGATATCCTGCCTCCTGCCAACCTTTTGGCTGGGATAACGTTTCCTTGAGGTTCTCCGTCTAGATAAAAGAGCACTCAACAAACTCCACATGACTGAGCTAGGGCTGCTCAAAGCAGCAAGCTCTGCTTCTCTCGTGTAAAACTCCACAGTACATATCACCCCTGCATTTATCACAGCAAGATTCATAAGGATTTTTGACAGATGAGACGTAACTTCTAAACTTCAATTTTCCAACAGAAATACCAGAAAGTGGCAGGCTGCTGTTTCTTTGTCAGTTTGAAGGAAGGCTACAGATACTGATAGTAGCAGTCTATCCTTGCAGCAAAGGCAATCCATACTTGCTATACCTTCCCCTTGGCTCTGGTTGGATACAGCTCTTGTGATTTTAGTGCTCCAAAGTCTCTGCATTTCTCCAGGGTAGCACCTGTCTTTTTCTAGGGAGTCATGTCAGAAGTCCCATCTGCAGCAGGTCTTTCACCTTTTTCTTCCAAGTAAAAGGATTTATTTAGCAAATAGAGTCCTCTTCTTTTGGTGGGAGGACATTGGATAAAGCTCACATTCTGCTTATATTTTTTTTCTGCAGCAGAGTGGCCACTTGCACCAAGATGAGGTGTCAGCAGGAGCTCAGCAATCATCTGCTCTGTCTAGCCAGTCAGCAATGGCTTGGACCAGCCACAGCATGCACTGCCTCCTCCCTGTGGCCCTTGGCAAGCTACTGTGAGCAAGGGGTGTTAGGGTATATGCGGATAACCCAGGGCTGTGGAAAAGGAGGGAGACAGGGATGTGATAAGATGATCTGGGATTTCTGCAGTATGAAAAATAAGGTACAAATCATGGGAAGCAACTGTGGTTACTGCTGCTGTCCATAGAGCAAATTGTCTCTTCCTACCTCACCTTAGATGAGCTTCTGTGGGATGGTGGCACCACAAAGCTGTGGCACCCATGTACCGTTTCAATTCACCAAAGTCCCATATGGAAGATTTAAATCACACATTCACATAGCATCCTTAATGACCCAATGAGTGAAGTATAAAGTAAAGGTAGTAAAGTGCTGCAGTGAAATCCCTTAGGACATTGATGAGAAAGCACGCAGCTCTGCTTCCCGCAAGACGGGTGCTAATTTCTTCTGATGGTGGTACCAAGCTGTCACTGTGGCTGCTTGCTTTAGCACGAGATGCCAGCTGCACGATACCATTAGCATTCCTCATCAGCCGTGGCTTATGTCTCTCTCTGTGCACAGTGTTGGAAAACCAGGTCATTCTCTTGGCTCATCCTCCTCTGATAACTCCTCTTTTCTTCCACTGCCGGGAAGCTGAGGACAGCATAATTAGTTTTCACTAATGTTCAGCTCTACGTGCAACTGCTTTTGGCTCAAGCCAAAAATGAAGTTTTCGCATAGTTTGCATGCCCTAATAGGAGGGAAGCTTGAGACAAATTTGAGACGTACCCATTTGCCTTCTATTATAATGATTCAGCTGATATTTTTCAAAAGACCTCAAAGAATACTAATGACATGTTAAGCTTCCAGTACTTGCAGAACAGAAAATAAATGAGCAAGATTCCAATGAAAATACAAAGTTATATATCTACCCATGCCAGATAACAACTGGTACTGCAAGGCTGTCATAACAAGCAACCCAAAATCATGTCCTTAAGCAGGAAAACTGCCCAAAGTTGTACTTAACTGCTTGGGGTTTGCAGGCAGATGAGAATCCTGATATTCCAAAGAAGCTGCAGGGGAAAATAAAACAGAAAAAGTCAACACAAACCCCAGATCAGAAGTTCAGCTTTTCATAATCAGACAGTGGAAATTATGACTTTTAAACCTGCGAGGAATAAATTTTCAGAGGACTGTATGAAGCGTGGTATAGAGAGATAAAACAACAAACCTTACTAAAGGGGAGTGATTTTGTGCTGTGGGTAAAAGCATAAACCTAAATGCCCATGAAAAATTATCTGGATGGTACAGGGGAGCTTGTATATTGGCAGAGTAACTGTATTGATAATTAAAGCTGCATTAATGTGCTTGAATGATGCTCTGAAAGTGTCACTGTAATGGAGGTCACAGCATCAACTAAAGCAGCTAGGCTGTGAGAGGAGGAGCTATGAGCTAGAGACTCCTTGCCAGGAATGTGTTTAGAGTTTGACATGCTGGAACACTATTAAAAATAACATGATTTTAATAATAATAATAATAATAATAATAATAATAATAATAATAATAATAATACAACAACCCCTGCAATATTAGTATACACTACAATAATTGCAAAATGACCAAATTATGTGCAGTATTTCAGGAGATAAAAATGAAGCAGAGAACGCATTAACAGTTATTCATGTCTCCTCATTTCCCCATGGGCTCTTTGGAAAGAAGCACATCAAGTTTCAATGAACTACATTGTGTTTTGTACACCTTGGGAAGCTGGAAAAGCTCAGAGGGACCCTGA